CAGCAAGAAAGATGACGCACCAATGTAGACATCCTGTATATCCTAGCCGCAGCAAAGAGGGTCAGGATCAACAGCCCACTCCGGCAAATATCTTTTCCCACGTATGCGAAGCTCAGCTTAGCACTAGAGAATTTGAAAGCCACTTGGATAATGGACAGAGCAATACTGATACGCTTTTTGACAGACATTCTAACTCTGTCAAGCACACAGATACAACGGCTTCGTCTGGAGATACTGAAAAGGACACGCACAGAGCAGTTTATCACACTTTGTGTTTTGGAAGCGATGGATACCCGAGGGTTGTTCCGAGAGAAACTAGGAGCCATGAGCAGAAATGCTGCTTTACCTATGATAACAAAATAAGAGATTATCCCTATATTATAAAGGGTACAACAACAAAACATAAGTCTCGAAAGGAAAACTTAAATTTCAGTTTGAGAAGCTGTCCGAATTCGCACAAAGCAAAATCACACCCCAACAGTCTATCTCGGCATCGGGTGAAGATGTGCAGGTCTGGATGCAGACAGAGTATACGAGGCACAAGAAAGCGGGGCTTGGAGCTCTCTGAAGATGATGTCTTAAATGTCTTGGGTAAGTCTCGTCTGTCATTTCCTGCTTTTGGTATCATAATTACCCCTGCTTAATACCACTGACAAATCTAGTCGAAACGACGTGTAATTCAGTTTCCTTTAGAGCAGCACCAAGAAGTCTGGGTATGGACCTGGGATGTCTCCTTGTACTTGTAACTCGAATCCTTTAGAAGGACATAGCATTCGAACGTAGGAATACCATTTTTACGTCTTGTAGAGTATAAATCAGAAACATTATCACAATTACGATTGTGTTTGTTGGTATGTTTTTGTTTTAGTAGAGGTTTTACGGCGCTCGCAACTGCTTAAGGTCATATGGGTGCCAGAAGATTAGAGGTGTTACAAGAGAATAACAAACATAAAAGAGAAGGGGAGATAAGGACCCGCCAACCACCCACGTTCGTTGGGACATGGCACATCAAACCGAGCCTGAGCGCGGTCTGTATAATTTAAAATGGATATATAAATGTTGTCTTTGGGATATGGATAACAAGGGGACTTGTTATTTTCCAAAACTTCATGTACTTTCTGGTACGTTGGAATTCGAAATGGAAGATGACGTTTCATTCCATTGTATAGGCATATAAGAATATTCTCCAAAAGTAAAAAAGAAACTGGTTTAGATAAGGCCGTGGGTGATAACCTGATTTGAGTAATGGATATGATAGCTTTTCCTCATTAAAGCATTGTTTCTTTCGCAGATCTTACACAAAACCAACAATGGCTAATTCAAATGTTTACGTTTCTGATAAAGAGAGCCATGGAGACTGAAAGTAATGACTATGTAATAATGTGTAGCGTTTACTTCAAAGATAGTGCTATTCTTGAGTTAACTTTTACAATATATTGTAAATGTTATGGTCTTCATATGAAATGGTGAGCTCGGGGCACTCTGATTTCAAGTCCATCTCTATCCGACCCGAATCCAGCGGGCAGAGAGTCACGGGGACTCTACAAACAAATCAAAGTTGGTAATGCTATTCAGGGGCTTTGAAATAGGATTGTCAACACAGAATAGTCTATCAGGATTGAAAACAACTTAGCTAACGTTACTCGGATTCACAAATAAAAGAAAGGGTAGAAGAAGGTTTTAATACCAACAAGTCTCATTGCACAACTTTAATAGAAATGTTTCCCCCCCTTCTAAATCATATATTTGCAACCCTTCAACCAACAGAAAGTGATCTCGCGAGACCACGCCGACTTCTAAAGGCAAAACGCGTCAAAGAGGAGAAGGAACGGGAATCGCAAGGTCAACAGCCAAAACCACATCCATTGGGACACAGCATCTCTTTGCAGTACATGCTACACGAGCTACATGATTTGGCACACACAAAGCATGCTACGCCGAGGAGTAGTAAAGACTTTTACGGGTATTTCCGGAGATGTGAAAAGCCAGAGACATGGCCATGGTATCCGACAAGCAATGAAAGTTTCACGACAGCAAAGAGATACCAAGACAAACCAGAGACGGGAAGTAGGGCACATAGGTTTGTTGGGAATTTTTACAACTGGCTGGGGACATTGTCTTGTTAATCTATTCAAAATCTTTCTTTATGATATCTCCCATTGGCATGTTGCTAAAGGATCATTCTGGTCTTGTACTGTCTGTTTCCTTTACACTGCAGTGTAATAATTTTTTAAGAATCAAACATATATAAATATATAAAAACAACCACATGCTACATGGATTACATTATTGCTTTGCCATACAAGGTAGACAGATGATTAGTTAGGATAGGTTGATTGATTGACAGAGAGATAAAGAACACGGGAAAGAGCGAGTAAAAAAAGAGTTACAGACAGACTGAAAGGCAGAAACACAGGGAAAGGTTGACCAGCAGAGGAGAGAGAGAGATAGATAGATAGATAGATAGATAGATAGATAGATAGATAGATAGATAGATAGA